GACGTGAACCGCAATCGACTACGTGGGAGTCCAGTGACATAGCCATTACACTAACTGCTGGTTCCCAGGATCCAGCTTCTCTTGAGCAGCACCTTAAAACTGCCACAGAGCTAGCCTCCATCTAACTTTTTACGAGACTCGCAAGGACAGAACAGTAAGGTCTCTTCCTCCTTCTCTCACATCAGTAAGACGGTTCCTAAAAATCTTCTCTCCACGTATCACCAAGGTATGTTGAACCCGAGAGACTCAACAAATATTCTGGAGAAGCTTCCAGATAGAAAATAGTTTAGGGCTAGCAGGTGGTGTGGAGGTTAAGGCACTGAATTCCCCCATGGCCAGCTGTGTGGTTTGAGTCTGGAATCCAGCAGCTTGAAAATCATATCAGGCGTGTGTGACCAAAATCCTGAGAGGAAACTAGAAAAGGTATTGTGGCATAGTCAAACCCTCTAGGAGATGATTTCTCATTCTCTCTCTCTCATGAGTCTACACACCTTACACTCTCTCTCTCTCTCTCTCTCTCATGAGTCTACACACCCTATAACGAAAACTATTTAAAAAAAAAAAAAGAAGAAGAAGAGTAGATGAAGAAAAAAAAAAAGAAAGAAAAGAAAACAGTTGGAAGAGAACACAGCCAATGACGAACAAGGATGAATGAGAGCATCCCTCTGAAACCACAAATGTAAATCGATTTGAGTCTCTTTATTCTGATTTGCCACATAGGTCTTTATAGACAAGACCCAGCCACAGTAAGGATTATGTCTCATTGTTGGCTTTGTTCTGTTCTGTTCTGTCTCCACCTTTTTCAGAGAAACTTTGGATTTTTACTCTAAAAATTAATAAACCCTACTCCACCCCCACCCCGCACACGCTTTGACACAGAAGGAAGGCTAGGCTAGACGCCCTGATTCCACAGCAAGTCCCGCTGGGCTGTGTGTGGACCTGGCTTTTTGGAGACGGGTGTGGTGGCCCAAGAATTCACACAAAAGCGTGCTGAAAAGACGACTGGAGATAAAAAAGACATTTACATTTTCAGTGAAATGAAGACAGGGAGTATAACTTCGGAGGAGAAAAAAGTCCAAGTTTGAGGCTGCCTTGGGAAATGGAGAAGTGAGTCCCTGATGGGGGAATCCTCTCTCGTAAAATCCAAAGGTTTTCCATTAAAGGGCCACAAGGCAGAAAAAGCTATTTTTCATATTTCGAACAGCCCGTTGGAAGCTGAATATCTGCCAGGATGTGGTCACGTGGGCTCTCTGAAGAGTCAAGTAGTTTTGGGAACCAGCAGTTAGAGTAATGGCTATGTCGCTGGACTCCCACGTAGTCGACCGTGGTTCGCGTCCCGAACCCAGTGGCTTAAAACTCATGCCGGGCGCGTGTGTGTGCATGCCCAAGATCCCGAGAGGAGAATGGAGGAGAAGGGACTGCGGCGTGACCATCCCCCCTGGGGGGTGATTTCTCGCTTTCTGTCTCTATGTCTCTCTCTGTCTGCCTGGCAAGCGCACACGCCCTATAGCCAAAACCTGTCCAAAAAAGAGTCAAGTAGTTTTGGGTTTTGGCTGGACATTTTTCAAGTCAACGTAGTAACACGGAGTGTCTCATCCCATCATCTAAACCTTTGATTGGCCAATGAAGACATCGAGAGCATATCTGAGATAAGATCTTTTTTTCTTCTCATTCTGTTATGTATCTTTGATTAATAAAAAATGGGGGCCAGGGGCCAGCAGGTGGAGTGGAAGTTAAAGTACTGGATCCCACATGACCAGCTACGTGATTTGGCTTAAAAATCATGCTGGGCACATGTGCGTGTGTGCCCGAAATCCCAAGAGGGGAGGAGAATGGAGGAGAAGTGATTGGATTACAGTGTGGTCATCCCCCCTGGGGGGAGGCAGGTGATTTCTCTCTTTCTCTCTCTCTTTCTCTGGTGAGCACATGCACCATGTGGCCAAAAATAATTAATTAACAAATAACTAAATAAAGGTAAAAAATAAAAGTGTGGGCCAGGCAGTGGCACAGCGGTACTACACTTGAACCCACATAGGAACAAACGCTGGATTCACCTCCTTAAACTCCCTCAGCACGTCAGGTACACGTGTGTGCCCATGATCTGGGCCAGGGACTGGGAATGAATCATGCGAAGACCCTGTTAGCAGGGCCTGTCTCTCCCTCTCTCTCTTTTTCTCTCTCTTTCAGAAGTAATAAGTACCCTTTTAAAGAAAGAAAAATGGAACTGCAGCTGAAGTATTGCTTGTTCTTTGCAGTTTCGATGGCAAGGTTTTGCAAGAATTGAATGAAAGGGGAGAAAGAAAAAGAATGAAAGGGGTTCTTGGTAGCAAAAAGTTTGGGAACCACCCTTGAGCCTCCCCCGTCTCTTCCCCTCCCACAAACGTGCACAATTCCAAGAAATAAACAGTCTTCCCTTGAGCCAGAGCAGAGCGCGCCTGTCGTGTGAGAAGACACGAGGAGAGACAGTGTAAATTAACTGCATCTGGTAAGGTTGGGCAACAGGGGGAGGAGATGATTAGTCGGCATTGTAGGGACAAGGGCAAAGAAGAGGGTTCTCTATTTACTCAGAGGAAATCCAAAATAGACTACTTTGCACCCATTGCCCTTCCCCCCCCCCAGGGAACTCAATACCTCCAAGCCAGCAGACGCTGGAGGGACCAGGGGCACAGCTCACCTAAACTCCTGGATGACACACAGCACCCTTTCCAGCTCCAGCAAATGGAGACCCACCTTGGTGCTGTTTTACTTCCAAAAACG